TAGATAGATATATATATATATCTATATATATATATATATATATATATATATATATAGAGAGAGAGAGAGAGAGATCGGAAGTAGGATACCTGTCCAACATACAACTTCAAATCAGGCCTGACTAACACATATACACTTGAAGTGCCTATTGTCGAGGGAGGAGGTTGTTCTTTAGAATCAACAGTGACACAAGAGATCTCTGCAAGTGCAGCTATACATTTCTGCACGTAAAGTTCGTTCAACTTTCTCTGACAAATGATGGTCACAGCTCTTCCAGCATTCTGCAATAATCTCTGCCTCTCCGCTGTATATAAATGTAAATACAGTGAAATGCATACAAATAGTTTTAGAAGGCATGAAAGATTTTAACAGTATAAAACATTTGGTTTGAAGACATTACCAGACAGAGACATCACATGTGAGGAACTCGTTGAACTTTCTCCACAGCCTTCATTTGTGACACATAATCTTCGGAATTTCATAGAATCATGTGGGGCATGATCATCTTCATATTTGGATAGTCCATTACTAGTTAAAGCATCAATATCAGTTCCCTTAATTGACACATTTTCAAAAGAACTAGATTCATTACCTTCAGGTCTCAAACAATCACTACGATCATACAAACAAGTAATTCCAGACTGATGAGTTCGATGCCCCTTTGCACCATCAATCTTTTCTAAATCTGTTTGAGCATCTTTGATAGTGAGATACAACTCCTCAGCTCTTCTGATAATAGCTTCAGGGATTCCTTCATTTTGAGCCGTCTCAAATGCAAGGCTTTCTCTACAAATTCCGTCTATTAACTTCCATGTCGGTTTTGTTCGACCATTCACTTTCTCCGTTCCCATTGCTTTAGAAACAATGTTCTTTGTCGCTAGTGGTAAATTGAAGAGGGCATGGATGTGGGTTGATACAATGCCCAGGCAACCAATATTATCGAGAGTTTCCAATATGCTTCCAGCAATGCAGGTGCCTTTCCACATTTCCGTTCCCCTGCAAATTTCATCCACTAGCACAAGGCTCCTTGCAGTGGCTCTTGTAACTATTGACCGCAGCTCTGACATTTCCATCTGAGACGAATGAAGATGCCAAAACAAAGTAATAAACTGTCAAAAAAGTATAGAAAGATGCTTTTGGCCATGCTGTACAGTATGTGTATACAAAAAACATTAGGCACCAAAAAAATAGCATGACTAGAGAAGTGATTGATTCAAAGAGTTCCATAAGTTTGTAGGCATCACAATGTAACAAAATATCTAGTAAGAACATATCATAGTATAAACTAAACATATAATATGATGAACAGAGATGCACATTGCACATTGACAATACGATCATGGACACATGGTTTAAGATTGAGTTGGGGTCAAAGCAGAGAGAGCCCCATGTGTGGTCATAGATTTGGCTGGCTACCAAAGTTTAACAGATTGTTTCCTGCCGAACATGTGGGTTTTCCTACGAAGGGGAATTTCAAATAAATAGAAGGAACCAAGAATCTGGCCAGCAGACTTCGTATCTCTTCGCAATGCAAGAAATTAGCAGGAAGCAGCTGTCCCTGAAAGGCTGACGTATGGAAGCCTAGCAAATGGTATAACACACGCGCATGAATGTGGCGTGCGCATAAGCAGAAAGATGCTAGCTAGAGAACTACAAACAATGTTTGCACTGCAACATCCTGTAAAGTGGCTTGTGAAGCAAGTAAGAGAAAAGCATACATATATATATATATATATATATGGGATTGTATACAATGAGGCTACCTTTGGTACAGGGAGAACACAGTTACTTACAACCATCCGATGTGAAATCTGATAGCTTGGATGTGTCGTAAAGTTTAAGAAAATTTCTTTTGTACTTGGAACTTGGTAAATGAAATAAATGCAGCCGACTAATTTCACATCCAATAGTCAAGATTAATTGTGACCACCTTGTACCAAAGGTAAATGATCTCATTGTATACTTTCCCTGTATATATAAAGGGAAAGGATCCTGTCAACCCAAGGACTGACTGCTAAAGTGTCAATCAACGGCCCAGATTGAATCTAGGCCAGATCCAATGGTTACGACCTCATTTCGTATTTGAATTTTCTTTATTTTTCTACAAATCCAAATCACTTGAAATTTGGAGCATCTATTCTTCAAAAATAGGAGAATCTAATAAAATTATAAAAATAAATAAATCTTAAATATAAATTGACCAAAATACCCCAAAAACTTTTTGGAGGTATTTTGGTAAATTTATATTTTACGAATTATTTTTTTTATATTTTTATTCGGTGCGCCTTAATGAGAAGAATGAACGTCTAAAATTTCAAGAGATTTTGAAAAAAATAAAAATTCAAATACGAAATGAGTCGTAACCGTCAAATCGGCCAAAATTCAATCTGGGTTGTTAGCTAAAACTGCAGCAGTCAACAAGTGGGTTGACAGAATCCATTCTTTTATATATATATATATATATATGGATATGGAAAATGTTGAGATTAACCCTACTAGCTCATATAAACATATGAGTTCATATGAGCCCAATGGCCCAGATTGAATCTGGACTGATCTGACGATCACGACCTCATTTCGTATTTTAATTTTAATATTTTTTCTACAAATCCAAATAACTTGAAATTTTAGACATGTGTTCTT